ATACAATTAAAAAACCCTTTTTTTATTACAAAACTTTTTTATTAGCATTAATTTATAATTTTTAATTTAATATTTTCTTTCTTTATTTATTTAGAAACAAATCAAAAAGTCTGGACTAAAACTACGACGGGTTACTTAACTAGTTACCATAAATGTCTCGTGTTCGTGTTTGTGTCGTTCTTAAATGTATATTTATTTTCTTGTTAAACAATGTGACGCTCTTCGTATGAAGAAAGAAATCAGTCCTTGTACAAGGTATCCAGATCAAATCCCTCCGTGACGTTAACTTTTTGTCAAATATTTTACTTAGAACTCCATTACTTCTTAAGTGTACATCTTTTGTTAGAATTTGAGGCATTTATAATTTTATTTTATAAACAGGACTATTTTTTTATTCATTAGTAAACCTTCATTCGATTTTTATCTTATATCTTTTTTATATTATCAGCACGTTTGGTTGGTTGTGATAGGTGATTACAGTTTAGTTTTATAATTACAAATTGTAAAATTAGACTTATGATAAAATATATTTTTGTAATATAACAATAATATAATTAATGTTATAATTTTTCTTAAGTCGACGTGAGGGACTCTCGCACAATGCCCGACTTCTTCGCAGAAGAGGTACATCGACTCCTGACCAGGCGCCTGAGACGCTAGTTTTGATGTTGACGTACTTGGACAGTTGAAAACTCGGACAATTGATATTTCGAGATTTTTTTCATAATTTAAAACCTCGGACAGTTGATTTAACCAAATATTATTATTATTTAAACCATCCTCGGACAAATAAAAACTCGGACAAATGAAAACTCGGACAACTAATTTCTCTAATATTTTGTAATTTTTCAAACTCGAACAACTGAAAACTGGGACCAATGATGTGATCCCATACAAATGTTTATCAAAATAAGTGGTACAATTGTCTTTGTAGTGATATGAAACCATTTGAAACGGCAAGTTTGAAGAACCAAATTTTCTCTTATGCATCCTCATCCTGTTGCAAAACACGGGTATAGTGGTTAATTTAAATAGTACTCAAATGTTAGTGTTTAATTTAATTTGGATCCCTTTATTACTCGCATCAAGAGGGCTAACTTTTTACTAAGCTACAAAAAAATATATAAATTTAACATATCCGTACACTTTCTAAGATACAGCAAACACATACTTACAATCGAATAGCCTTCCATGTTGATAAAGGGTTGAAAAAAATACTTTCACAAAATAAAATGAAACATGTAGAGCTCGGTCTGTGGTGAAATGCGTCAGTTTCACTACAACAGCTGGCATTTAATTGATTGGCAATGACTATGAAACTTCGATCACATAAATCACCATTACTTATTGGCAGGTTTACGTAGGTTGGTTACTGCGTGGATAGTTTTTTCCAACTGTTTTATAACTGAACTTTGGCTTACCAGTGCTTGGAAATTATGGATATAAAATATACAGTGTGCACATTTTACAAAGGAGTCAAAATAGTAGGGATGGCTAAAAAATTACGACCGTATTTCCAGTGAGATCTTGCACAAACTTTTATTGTAAATATTATAACTACATATTATTTATAACTTGGAGTTCAAAAAACAGTTGTTAAAGACAATTCTCATTGGGATTTTACCATTTACTATATAAACACTGGTATTTATATAGTCAAAGCTTTTAATATAATTAAGTGTGTCTGTGGAATTCAAATTATATACAGGGTGGCTGAAAAGTAACTTACGCCCCCCCCTTAACTTTTCAGCTATTTGAGATATTTTAAATCTGTTTGTGGCAACCTTCTTAGATATGTGGGGCTACAGTAATTATGGTTATTTTTGAAAATTTTGCCCTGTGGGGGTAGATGGTAGCTCAACATTTTCAAATGACAAGTATAGTCGACTTTTGTATCATTTGACAGGTCTTGACGAAATATAAAAATTGACATAAAGAAACCCAAAATCGGCCCACTAATAACAAAATGGTGCCCTAAAACGTTTCAAATCCAAATAACCATGAGGGTGGCAAAATAATTAACTTGCACCCCCTTTAACTTTTTAACTATTTAAGATATTTGAAATCGGTTTGCAGCAACTTGTTTGGATATGATGGGCTACAATAATTATTGTCTGTTTTGAAAATTTTCCCCTTGGGGAGGTGTAGGTGGTATCCCGAAGTTTTCAAATATCAAGTATAGTCGAGTTTGGTATCAGTTTGCAGGTCTTGACGAAACATAACAATTAACATAAAGGAAATAGAAATAATCGGACCATTAATAACAAAATGGCAGTTCAAAATTACTTTTAATAACCATTGTCTTAATCATTTTTAGCTGCCTTTTTGTTATTAATGGTCCGATTTCTATTTTATTTATGTTAATTCTTATGTTTTGCAAGACCTGTAAAATGATACCAAACTCGGCTATACTTGCTATTTAAAAATTTTGAGCTACCCCCTACCCCCGCTACCCCTAAAGGCAAAATCTTCAATACTGACCATAATTATTGCATCCCTTCATACCCAAACAAGTTGCCACAAACTGATTTCAAATAGCTCAAATAGTTAAAAAGTTAAAGGGGGTGCAAGTTTATTTTCAGTCACCCTCATGGTTATATGGGGTTGAAACGTTTTATGGCGCTATTTTGTTATTAGTGGTCAGATTTTGGTTTTCTTTATGTACATTTTTTTATGTTTCGTCAAGACCTGTAAAATGATACCAAAATTCACTATACTTGTCATTTAAAAATGTTGAGCTACTCCCTACCCCCACTACCCCTAAGAGCAAAATTTTCAAAATTGACCATAATTATTGTAGCCTCTCATTCTTAAAAAGGTTGCCACAAACAGATTTCAAATATTTCACAAATCGTTGAAAAGTTAAGGGGGGGGGGGGGTGTAAGTTACTTGTTCATTTATTAAAACTATTTTAATTAAATAATCAATTCCAAACAAGATAGTGTTTATTCTAAGAAATCATAACATAATATATTTAACAACTAGAGATCAGCTGGTTATAGCAATACCAACATCTCCCTCTTTAACTTTTGAATGGACGAATAAATCTTCTATTGCGTCTGAATAGTCTTCCTTCAATTGATACAAGGTAAGTTCTCAACCCATCTAGTGACACTATTACGCCAGGCGTCCATGGTTCTGCTTTCATGTCTGGTGTTAAATATGTAAGAAATTAGTAAATTCAGAATAAAGCACAATCATAAAAGTCTATTTTAATACAAAATCTAAACAAAACAATCCATTGTAAATAAAGTGTTTTTAACATGTGATTTCATACATTAAGCAATATTAATTATAAACATATGATGTTAGACAGTTAATATCTATCAATCCTCCCCCTTTAATCGGCAAGGTAGCATCTGGTTGACATGTCTTCTCCAGTTGCAGCCATCATCCATTCGCAAAACATACATCACTTTTCCTTCTTTAGCTGTTACTCTTCCAAAACTCCACTTTTTCCCTTTTTGGTTGTAGCATAAAGCTTGAACCCTTTCTCCAATGTTAAAATTGCGATGTCTTTTATTTGAAGTTTCATTCTCATTTGCTGTTTCTAGTTTGTTTGTTTCCAGCATGAAGTCAAGACGAGTTCTTATATTTCGACCAAACATAAGGGAGTACGCATCTTTACCCGTTGAGTTTACAGACTTTCGTAGTTGCGTTAGAAACATTGGTAGTTTTTTACTTGTGTCTCCTCCCTCACTTTTCATTGCACTTAAGCCCTTCTTTATCGTCTGAACAAATCTTTCTGCTTGCCCATTTGACGAAGGGTTAAATGGAGCACACGTCTTGTGGATGACTCTGTTTAACTTTAAGAAACTTTTGAAAGTAAATGATGTGAATTGTGGTCCATTGTCAGATACTAGTACGGGAGGAATACCAAAAGTCGAAAACAAATTCCGAAGTGTCTTTATGCACCATTCCGAGGTTGTTATCTTTGTTGGAATAACTTCAACCCATTTAGAAAATGAATCAACAATAATGAAAAAGTATTGATTTCCAGCGTATGGTCCAGCAAAATCGATGTGAATTCTCTGCCATGGCTGTTCAGCACTTTCCCAAGGGTGTAGAGTCACTGAGCTTGGTCGATTCTGTTTTTGACAACACTCTTTGCATGTTTTTGCCAAATTCTCTATGTCTTTATCTATGCCCTCCCAGTAACAATAACTTCTAGCTAACCCCTTCATCTTTACAATGCCTAAATGTCCAATGTGAAGTTCCTGTAGGACTTTACTCTGCAAACTAGTGGGAATAACTATTCTGTTTCCTTTAAACAAGCAATCATTCTGTAGAGTAAATTCATGATCATGTAAACCAATTCTTTTGATACTCTTTCCTTCTTTAAGTAATTTAATAATTTCTTTTGTAGTGCTGTCGTTGTAAGACTCTCTTGCAATCTCTTCTTTAGTGACTGGCATTGTTTCCAACTGACTTAATTGAAACACAGCATTATCATCCATGAAATCATCAGGTGTACTCTCAACTGGAAATCGGGAAAGGAAATCAGCATTCGAATGGTCTTGTGTTCTGCGAAATTCAACAGTGTAGTTAAATCCTGAAAGGAAGTGTGCATAGTTAAAGATTCTTGTAGCGGTCATTGTCGGTAAAGTTCTATGTGGATCGAAAATAGATACTAAAGGCTTGTGATCTGTAATCAGTACAAACTTACGACCATAACAGTAAGATAAGAATCTTTTCAATCCCCAGTATATTGCAGTTGCTTCCTTATCTATTTGGCTGTATTTTTGTTCACTCCTTGTCAATGTTCGGGAGGCAAAAGCTATTGGTCTTTCACTGCCATCTTTCATTCGATGTGATAGGACAGCCCCAAGTCCTACTGGAGAAGCATCGAAAATAAGCAAGAACCAAGGGTAGCGAAGGATCAAAATGAGCTAATGTCCGTTCATTTGCAATTTCTTCTTTCACTTTCTTGAAGCTTTGTTCACAAGGTGATGTCCACTTAAATGGTTTGTTCTTCTTTAGCAAATTGTTCAAAGGATAAACTATATCAGAAAAGCATGTAGTTTATTGGTCTTTTGGTCTAGTTGGTCTATTGGTCTTTCACTGCCATCTTTCATTCGATGTGATAGGACAGCCCCAAGTCCTACTGGAGAAGCATCTGTAGCAAGAACCAAGGGTAGCGAAGGATCAAAATGAGCTAATGTCCGTTCATTTGCAATTTCTTCTTTCACTTTCTTGAAGCTTTGTTCACAAGGTGATGTCCACTTAAATGGTTTGTTCTTCTTTAGCAAATTGTTCAAAGGATAAACTATATCAGAAAAGCATGAAATAAACTTACTGTAGTAAGTCACCAAACCCAGGAATGATCGTAGTTCATTGATGTTCGAAGGTCGTTTTGCATTAGTTATTGCTTCAACTTTTTCAGTACTCTTGTGTAAACCATTGTTATCAATCACGTGTCCCAAATATTTTATGCTCTTCTGGAAGAATTTGCATTTCTCTCTGTTCAATCGTAGATTCTTGCTACGTAACACATTCAGTACTTGTTTTAATCTTTGTAAAGTTTCATCAAACGTAGATCCTTGTACGAGTATGTCGTCAAAGAAACACTGTACTCCATCCAGACCTTGTAATGTTGAGTCCATGAATCTTTGCCAGAGAGATGGAGCGACCTTCACTCCAAACATAAGGCGATTTACCTTAAAAAGTCCTTTGTGTGTGCTTAAGGTTTGCATTTTAGCACTTTCATCGTCCATTACCATATGTAAGTACGCATTACTTATGTCAAGTGTACAAAAGTATTTCCCTCCACTCATGTTTGAGAAAATGTCTTCTATTCTTGGTATGGGATAGTTTACCTCTTCAATTACTTTATTGAGTGTAACCTTGTAGTCGGCACATAATCTCACATTGCCATTTGGTTTTATTACTGGAACCACAGGGGTTCCCCAAGCAGAGTTTTCTACCTTAGTAATGATGTGTTCACGTTCCAATCGTTCAATCTCCCTCTCGACCTTACATTTTATTGCGTACGGTACTTGTCTAGGCTTTATGTAAATAGGTATAGTGTTTTCCATCACCTGAAATTTAGCTTTGAAGTCAGGAATCTCTCCAATCTCTGTCTTGAAAATATCTTCATATTCTTCAAGTAAGGATGTCAGCTGAGATCCATTTGTTTCTTCAACTGCCCTCATGTCTGCCCAATCAAGTTTCACCTCTCTCATCCACTCTCGTCCAAATATAGCATCAACTTGGTGATCTATTACGTATAGCTTCCCAATGAATCTTTGTCCCTTGTAGTTGCATTTCACAAAAGCTACGCCACACGGTTTTATTATTTCTCCTGTGTATGTGCGTAGTTCAACTGCAGTTGATAGAAGCTTTTTGTTCGGAAAATTGTGTTGAAAGTCTTTTAGGGAAATGGAGCTCAATGATGCGCCTGTGTCTAATTCGAATAACATCTCCTTGCCATCCACTGATAATTTTGCATTGAATTTACCTCTGTCTTTTGAATTTGAAAGTAAATGTATGTTATGTAAGTCGTTTCCATCCTCTTCTTCAAAAGCTTCTTCTTCAGCATAGTGAACTGATTTTTGTAATTTACCTTTACTCATGCATACACGAGCAATATGACCAATTTTATTGCAAGAATGACATGTTTCTTCTTTGAATTTACATTTATTAGCCGTATGTGATTCATTACCACAACGATAACATTTTCCTCTTAAAGAATCAAAACTCAAGGTAGTTTTATCAAGTTTCGCAGTAGATTTCATGGAATACCTTGTACTTCTTACATCTTTATTTGTTGGTACTGGTACTTGCTGACTTTTGTATTTGATTTGATTCACATGTCTAGCAAAATGTTGCTCAGTAATCATTGCAATTTCTGTTTTTGATAGCTCTATTCCGGTTGCTGTCCTAACTCAGGAAATGTTCTCAATTCACGTTCTTGTAAGAGTCTTGTTCTTATTTCTGGGTCATTTAGTCCTCTGACAAACTGTAATCGCAAAAATATATCACAAACAGACTTTCCACATGCACAGTTGAACTCACAGTTTGTAGATAACCTTTTAAGGTCTGTTGAAAAATCTGTTACTGATTCTCCATTCTGTTGTTCTCTAAGTACAAATTTGTGTTGTAACGCTAGTGTACTTGCTTGAGGATCTAAGTACTGTTGTAATAAATGTACTAGTTCTTCGTATGTTTTGTTACTTGGATCATCTGGTGAGCAAATGTCGTATAGCTTTTGATGAATTAATGGTGTGAGAGCATGTAAGAAAGTCAATGTTTTCTGATTTTGGTCCTTTATGCATTTTAGTTCCATAAAAGTATCCAAACGTTTTGTAAAATTTCGGAAACTTTCCCTTTCATCGTAGGGCACAAAGTTTAGATTCGAGGTTGTCACATTTGTTGTAGTAGCATGCTGAATCTGATCATTTGAACAATCGACACCTGATGTATCAATTAGGTTTTGTAACATTACCTTGGTAGCAACTAGCAATTGTGGTATTTTCAAATTCTTGTCTGTAAGCGAGTTCATCTTCAATATCATCTTCATTAATCATTAATTCAATGTGGTCCTGTATTATACCAAATTTTGTGTGCAATTCATTTAAATGATGTAGTCTAACAGAAGCATCTGTAGACACTTTGTGCTCTTTCAATAGTTTTGTGATATTTGTAAGCTGAGCTTTCAATGATCTTCTGAGGTTTTTGTACTTGATTATCCTCTCATTCTTGTCTTTTATTTGTTCAATTGTTTCTATTATCCTCGTCGCCATTGTTAAATATGTAAGAAATTAGTAAATTCAGAATAAAGCACAATCATAAAAGTCTATTTTAATACAAAATCTAAACAAAACAATCCATTGTAAATAAAGTGTTTTTAACATGTGATTTCATACATTAAGCAATATTAATTATAAACATATGATGTTAGACAGTTAATATCTATCATCTGGTCTCTTCTGTATCAATACCTTTTGTCCAACTTTAAGTGGGTCCAATGCCTGAGTGCCTTTATCATAGTGCTTCTTGTATTTTTCTTGTTTTTCCTTCAACTTGTCTGTGACTCCTATGTGTATCTTTGGATTTAGTTTCATTTCTGTTATGGGCAAACGAGTCTTTGTTGATCTTGACATTAGCAACTGCACAGGACTTGCACCCACGTAAGCCAGTGGTGTATTTCTCCACTCTAATAGAGCTGCTTGAAAGTCTTCTTTACTTTCTTTTACCTTCTTTAGCATTCTCTTTGCAATTTTAACTGCTGATTCTGCCTTACCATTGGATTGGTGATTATGTGGTGAAGAAACAACAATTTTAAACATCCAAGTCTGGGCAAAAAGCTTGAAGTCTTGGCTAACAAGTTGAGTACCACTGTCAGAAACAACAACGTCTGGTATTCCGTAACGAGCAAACTGTTCTTTACAAAACTGTATCAGGCCTTCTGTTTTTAGTGAATTCACTTTCTTCAGTTCAAAAAATGATGAAAAGTAATCTGTCATTATAAGAAAGTGGTCACTGCCCAGCTGGAAAAAGTCAATTCCAACTCTTTGCCATGCTCTTGTTGGAGTATTATGAGGCTGAAAGGGTTCCGATTTCTGAGCTGGAGCGTACTTTTGGCAAGGCCAACATGTTTCAACAGTTCTTTGAACATCTCCAGCCATTCCCGGCCAAAATAACACTTCTCTTGCTCTTCTTAAACAAGACTCGACTCCTTGGTGAGAAGAATGTAGAATTTTAAGCATGGCAGGTCTCAAAGAACGTGGAACTACTATACGGTCTCCTTTTATTACGATTCCATCTACCGCTGATAATTCATCTCTAACACTCCAGTATTCCTGTAGATCTTGAGGAACATGAGTACGTTTCTCAGGCCACCCTTTTTTAATCGTGTCCACAAGATTATTCATAACAGGGCATTTACTTGACTCTTCTTTTATCTCCTTGATCCTCTCATCAGTAATATTTATGTTGTCTAAATCGTTAATGTTCTCTAACTCTGCTTGAAAAATTAGGTCGTCAACTGTTTCTCTGCCAGTTTCTTTAAGAGGCGATCTAGACAGAAAATCTGCTACATGCATTGATGTGCCTGGTTTGTATTGTACACAAAAGCTGTATTTTTGAAGTCGTAAAAGCATCCTTTGCAGTCTCTTAGGAGCTGAAATCAAGGGCTTCTTGAATATTGCCTCCAAGGGCTTGTGATCAGATTCAACTATAACATCTCTATGTCCCATCAAATACTGTTCAAAGCGTTCAAGACCAAACACAATAGCTAGACACTCTTTTTCAATTTGTGCGTAGGCAACTTCAGTCTTAGTCAATGTTCTTGAAGCATAAGCAACGGGCTTACCTCGCTGCATGAGGCAAGCTCCTAGGCCATATTGACTAGCATCACATTGCACAACACAACTCTGTGTCTGGTCAAAGTACTTTAATGTTGGAGCTTCTTGGACCATCTTGAGCAACTTTTGAAAAGCATCTTTCTGTGGGCTGTCCCATACCCACTCACTATCATCTTTCAACAAATTTCTAAGCGGTGTTGCTACTTCTGATAGTATTGGTAGAAACTTTGATAAATACACAACGTAGCCTAAAAATCTCTTGACTTCTTCTTTTGAAGTAGGAGCTGAAAGTTTTCTTATAGCTTCTACTTTGCTAGGGTCAGGACACAACCCATCTGCTGTAATGAGATGTCCCATGTATGGAATTTTTTCTACACCTATTTTACACTTATCCTTGTTAAACTTTAACCCTTTAAGCTGAGCTTGTTGCAGAAGGGCATTCAGCTTCTTGTCATGGTCAATCTTAGCTTCTTGAACGGTGTTTCCTTTTCCAAATACCATAACATCATCAGCTATTGCCACAACTCCTTCAAGACCCTCAAGGTTTTCGTGAACTCTTCGTTGAAACTCTTCAGGAGCATTAGCAACACCAAAAGGTAGTCTAGTCCAACGAAATCTCCCTTTGGGGGTCCAAAACGTAGTTAGCCTGCTTGATTCCTCATTTAGCTTTACATGCCAAAACCCATCCTTAAGGTCCAGAACACTAAAGAACTTTGCTCCATATAGCTGTGGGGCTATTTCCTCAATAGTTGGTGCTTGATAATGAGATCTTTTAATGGCTTTATTCATGTGAAAAGGATCTATACAAAGTCGTATCTTGTTAGGTTTCTTCACTACTACCAAACTACTGACCCAATCAGTAGGCTCTGTTACCTTGACGATGACTCCAAGCTGTTCAAGTCTATCTAATTCAGCACATATTTCTTTCTTCAATGCTAGAGGTTGTCGCCTGGGTGCTGCTATTGAAGGTGGTACCGACGGGTCAGTTCTTATGCTGCAAAGACCTTCAAAACACCCTAATCCTTCAAATACAGTAGGAAATTGATCAAATATCGTATGTTGATGTGTGGCTGTTTGGTTAGATGCTGTGAGAGCCTGGAAAACCTCTTCATCTGTCGTAATCAAACCTAGTCGAAGACAATCTGCTGCTCCTATAAGAGGATTTCTCTCAGAATTCAGAATTTCAAACTTTAAATCAAAAATATTCTTTTTGAATTTTGCTTTCAGCACAATGCTGCCTAGTGAGTTTTGGGATGACCCGCCATAGAAACACAAAGTAGTGGAGCTACTATTAAGTTTAGGATTCTCATTGTCAAGAATAGTTTTTAGATCTCGTAGCCCCATAACGTTACAAGTTGCACCTGAGTCAAGCTGGAACTTTCTGAGCTTTTTGTTGACCATCATTTTCACAAAAAGTCGTTTTTTATAATGGATATCGTTAAGTTCCATCACTTCCTCTTCACCTTGGCTATCTTGATTTGATTCACTGTATTATCTTGGACCAGATTAATTTTACCGGAACTTCGACACACGCTGCTAAAATGGTTCTTCCTTTTACAGGTGGTGCAAACTTTGCCAAACGCAGGGCAGTTTTTTGCTCCCTTAATATGTTTTTTACCACAAAAACGACACTTCCATTTGTTATCTAAGTGTCTACTCTTTGCTTGAAATAACGCATCTTCTGATTTCACTGTCATTTTTGTAACCAACCTTTCAGTTGTTTCATGATGCATACATATTTCTATAGCCTCATCAAGTTTTAGGTCTTTTCTACGCAAAAGTGTTCTTTTTAATTCAGTATTGGTTATACCTACTACAAGTTGGTCGCAAATTAGAGTATCTTCAAGGCCTGTCTTGTCGAGATTTGCTAAAGAATCAATGTCACACAATCGTATTTGCTCTTTTAGACGACCTATAAAGTCTTTAATCGTTTCATCAGTCTTTTGAACAATGCCATTAAAAATAAATCTCTCATACAAAGAATTGTTTGTCCCTAAAAAATACTTATCCAAAGCTTCAATTACCTGATCCAGGGTCGATTCATTGGAGCCAAGTATTCTTTCAATCAAACATAGTCCATCACGGCCAATTACAGTTGAAAACATGGCCATCTTCAGTTTAGGTGTACTTAACCTTGTACCACCTAATGCTCCTGCTTCAGCTAATATCAAATAGTTCTTCCATTGTTTCTTGAACACTTCCCAGTTTTCTCGTACTCGCGTTGGGTCACTTAAGTCCAGTGGATTCGGTACTACTGACACCATGTTCATTTATTAAAACTATTTTAATTAAATAATCAATTCGAAACAAGATAGTGTTTATTCTAAGAAATCATAACATAATATATTTAACAACTAGAGATCAGCTGGTTATAGCAATACCAACATTACTTTTCAGCCACCCTGTATAAATATTGATTTTTGTTGTGTGTTTTTACGCCAATGGCATTTTTTACGTTTTGAAAGGGAAAGGTCCAAACGGTTTTGAGTATTTTAGTACAGTAATACAATTTGACTTAAAACCTAGTTATATCATACATTATGTTATTTTATCTATCTATAACCTAGTTAATTCATACAGAAAAACTATATTCAATCATATATTATGTATCACGACCGTCGATAGTTTTCTTGGCAATAATAATTAGGAATGAACTAAATTAATAACATTTTATATTAAACATGTCTTTTGTAAGAAGTCTCTAACAACAATAATATTTGTTTACATCCTATTATCATAGACTAACCAACACAAGTAGACTTCTCATCCCATTGTAAATTTTGAAGCACGTTTTTCGTGTCTAGTTCATGTACGTGACACATGGGCGTTAGTGTCGACGAAACTTTGTTTCTATTATTTTAGGGTTAATTTCTTGATTTGTGCTTTACTGTTTGGTTATATAACTAGGGGACAAGTTATTGTTTATGATTATATCGTATTATTTGGTTAAACGAGGTTTTAAATGGCTGTAATAACGGGAAACAAATTGTAAACAAAACACGACCTCTTACATAAACCGTACAGAACTAACAATAAAATTGTCTTCAGCTGTTCCATAAGGATGAGAAATCTACTAAGGGAGTATGTTTTGTTTTATCTATGCTATTATAAATCTAAATAAAACACATGTTTTATTTTGCAGTCTTTATGAAACATAATATTATAATTTGAAAAACACTTAGAAACTAAAAGTATTCAATTATCTTTTATGGGTTTTAATCATCTGTACATGATCTAGTAAATCCTTGTAAAACCTTAAAAATCACACCCCCTTTCCCACAGGGGATGAAAACAAATTCCAACCCATTTTTTGTTTCTATAGTTAAAGGTAATATTTAGAAAAAGTTTATACTTTTTGGCTGATATTTGAAGATATGAATTTTTTTCATGAACTCCCACCTTCAACTGTTGATTTAACTTGCATATTCAACTCCCATGTACATCACGTTAATACTAATTTTGCTAACAAAATATTACACTTTAAACACGCATCTAAAAAGTGTTCAGATTTTTATTTTACAACAGAAAGAAGAAGTCTAGTTGCACTATATGAGTCAATAATAAAATGTTACGTTAATAATAGCCTTAAATATATTTTCATTTCATTATTGCTGTTTAGTTCAAATAGTTGATTCAAGACGTTTGTTCATGAATCATGCTTCAAAACTAGTTACTATTTTAGGTGAATAGTAAAACAACGTTTTTCTAATACACTATACAGTATACATTAGGTTTGGATAAACATTGACTTGACTGCTAGTAAGTTATAATAGCTGTTTTACATAATTTCTTTTAATTCCAATTTAGATTAAATAAAGGAAATCAGTAAAATACTACACCAATATAATCAGTGATTATTTTTCTTATGCCCTGTAATACTTTCTGTATATTTTTGATCAGCTGTTTCCAAGCAAATGTTTTTCCTTTGTACTTTATTTAGATAGCATATTAGTTTGCTAATAAGCATGATTTTTCGTTAAAATCTACGTTGTTGTTTCGTGAATATCATAGCAACCCATAAGGCTAATGTTAAAATAGCAAATCTTACATTTGTTTTAGATTCTACAAGCATTATCTAATTTAAATTTGTCTGTTAAATAAAATGTTCACTGTTTTTAAAAATAACCCTGGTAAGTTTGGCGCCAATGTGTTCAGCCGTTATTGAGTGATTCAATTACAGTTCAAAGTTGGCATAAGGTCCGATCTCAAAGAGCTTCCCACTTTCCGCTCAAATGTAACTTTAACTCTAAACATCACTTTCAAGTCTAGGGTTAGGATGACGAAGCTCTGTACAGGGCGTTTTCAAATTGTGTGGAAATATTTTGTGGTTCCTTGGGCTAAGACAAACATAAAATGCCATAGAAGTATGGGTCTAAAATACATAGATCAGATTTGCATTCTAGTCTGTCGGTCTGTTAGGGATTTTTATTTTTTTTATATCTTGGGAATTTTTTAAGATAGACATTTCAACATTATTATAAATGTGTGGTTTAAAAGGTAAAAAGAGCTTTAACAAATCGTTCCAATATCTCAAGTTATTTGAATGTAGTGGCCATTTAAAACCGTTAATGCCCAATTCCATGAAAATCGTAAATATTGAGAAAGTTATTTTCATGCTTAAAAAGATAGAGAATTTAAATCCAAATCGAATGATACCTTGTTTGTTAAAATCGGATGACAAACAACGAGTTATCAGTTTTTTTTCTAAATTCGGCTATGACATTTAAAAGGACTACCATGATACTATTCTTAAGTTAGGTCCTATGCCTTTTTTACGCAGCTGTTATGCTGACCTCAAATTTGCGGCATTGTATTCTATTAATAAATACCTTAAATGTGATGTGCATATCGACCTGTTCTTACGTTTATAATTTTCTTCCGTCTTCTTGCGGGCATAACCATTGCAAATTCAAGAAATCTTTAAACAGCTGCCATTTCTTTCTCCAGTGTCCGTTTGAGTTCGGGTTTGTGACATTGTGTTTTAATAAGGGCTATTAACTTAACACAAACATCAACCTATGCTGTCTGACTCCTCGTGGGCCGCCCCTCTTAAGGGATAAAATAGTATATTTCGTACCGAGGGCCGATAATTAGGTTTGCCGGCTCGAGATTGTTTTTAAGTTCAAGACGAAGTCGAGAACTTGAAACGGTCGAGAGCTGCAAAAGCATTTCTGTCCGTGGTACGAACGCTATTTTTCACCACACTATACCCTATTGCCACTATTCACCACAATAAAAATGTACATGTACACTGATAGTCAACACAACTACAACTTTAAGGTTATGTGAAGAAATAGTTTGAGAAATCAGATAAAGTAATAATAAATAGTTGCTAGGCAGCGGTGACAATAAAACAATTCTATTGCAATGCTATGGATACTGATTGTGTATTTAATATGCATTCATGTTTTAAAAAAGTAAGCGGGCAGCTGATTTTGCGGCCCTAGGGATGTAAAAACCTGCTCGGTCCCCAAATGACGATGACAGCTGGCATGGCCAGCAAAACGTAACTTTCAGTCACCAATTAACGTATGTAAAACAGCTAAAAACATCATAGCGTGGTGAAAAAGTAATAATAGATAAAAAGAGTAGACATTTACGGCAATGATTAATTTACCAAGTTTAATTCCTTTATCTACAAGTACCTGGGCACAGAGCTTTGCTCGGGGAAAATCATTAGTTTACTCAGAAAACCGTTTAGTATTGCAGTTAGATTAATCCATTCCCAAACTCCACACTGCTCGCCTTTCCTACTTCCTTCACCACTCCCTACGTCGTGGATTTGTTTGCCCTCCTACCCTATACCATTTTAGAATTGCAGATACATAATTGCCACAGACAGTTCCCACACTCTGCACTGTTGGCCTTACTACCACTTTCACCATTTCCTACGTCTCATACCTGTTTTCCTCCCTTCCCATAGCATTTTAGGATTGCAGATAACTTAATCTTATCGTCACAAACAGTTCACACACTCCGGGCTGCTCGCCTTTACTACTTCCTTCATCTCTTCCTACGTCACGGACCTGTTTCCCTCGCTTCCCATAGCATTTTTGATGCAGATATCTTAATCTAAGCATCATAAACAGTTCCCACACTCCGGACTCCTCGCTTTTATTACTTCATTCATCACTTCCTACGTAACGGACCTGTTTCCCTCCCTTCCCATAGCATTTTGGGATTGTAGATACCTTAATCTAATCGTCATAAACAGTTCCCACACTCCAGACTGCTCACATTTACTATTTCCTTCATCACTTCCTACGTCGCAGAAGCATTTTAGGATTGCAGATACATTCATAAACAGTTCCCACACTCCGGACTGCTAGCATTTATTACTTCCTTCATCACTTCCTACGTAGCGGACCTGCATCCCTCCCTTCTTATAGCATTTCAGGTTTGCA